TCACAAATCCCAAGTTGTATACATTGGGATCACAGCAGAAGCACTTGGGCATTAGGGTGTACGAGGAAGTGTGTTCCTTCTGCTTTTCTTGGGTACTAGTGTGGCTGCGGAGCTTTTCTTCCTGCCATGAGAAACACAGCCACATAGATCTGCTTCCTGTTTCCCAGTGCTTGCTTGGGGCCCAGCCTCTGACTTGCCCTGGAATACTTAAGAGGCCCAAAGCCATCTCTGGAACCCTTGGAGATACTCAAAGGAAAGATTGTGTATCCCAGAGAGAGGTGAGCGGGAGAGCATCTCATCCCAGATAGAAAGAACACCAATGGACCCCCAAAAAAGAATTCTGTCAAGTCTAGCATGGTGAACCAATGACTTTATTGTGGTTACTTACAGAGGCATGGATGGTTCAAAGAGGTGAGACCATGGGGAAGTTCCCCCGGGGGACTTACAGGCAACTACCACACTGAGGAGGAGTCCCACCCATGGCACAGATGATACAGGAAATGCAGTTACCCAAAGAGGCCCTGGACAACTGACAAAACTTAAAATAGCTGCACCAGGAAAAGACCTTTTATGTAACTGAGTAGGAAGGACAGGGTGAAGGCCCCTGAGCCTGCCTGACTCTCTGTGAAGGAATGCCAGTTGACCTGAGGGCTTCAGGCAGGTCCATCACAGCCACACTAATCCAAGATGGCAGCCATACTCAGCCTGGGGCAACAACATGAAACAACAACAACATGAAACACCTCCACACATCTTTTCTGGGGGCCATCCAACGTGCAGGAGTCAATTGCCTCAATCTGTCACCTCGGCAACCTTCCTCAATGGCATCCACCTTGCATCCACCCCAAGAAGAGGCTCCGAGCCAGAGGAGAGGACTCCCTGAGGAGTCCCTTTGGCCTTGTGGTCCTCCGGTTTTTCTCCCTCATCTGGTCCAGTGATGGGCATTGGGAACTTGTACCTCAACGCCCTGTGGCGATTTTCCATCATTCTGTGTCTTTCTTTGTGTCTTAGGGCTGTTTGTCAGGGTTATTTGATGGGAAAGATGAGACAGCAATGGGCTCAGACCAGCTCCTCTTTACAATAGTTCAAGGTTTCTCTCTGTTCCAAGGAAAACAGCCTCTTGGAGACGATTCACAATGCGTCTTCCTCCCCCTTAGATCTGATGCCCCTGTTGCCTTCCACTAAAAGTAAAAGCGTTTCCTCTCTGGAGGAGATGAGTCTAGGACGTTAAGGGACACTCAAGTTCAAGTGTCCTCAAGATCACTGCACCGCTCATTCCCACAGATGGGCTGTCATTGCTGACCTTTAGCATAGGCCACAGGACCTCTGTGTGTGCAGGTGTACACACCTGTGTTCATGGGTGTGAAAGCCAGAGGAGGATGTCCAATGTCTTCCTCCATTGCTCTCCATGTTTTTCCCTTGAGACAGCATCTCTCACTGAACCCGGAACTCACCATGTTTAGACTAGACTTTGGCCAGCAAGCCCTAGCAATCCTGTCTCCATATCATCCCCACCCTCACACTGGAGTTACAGATGCAGGCTGTGGGAAACAAGACCCCCACTCTGTAATAAATTAAGAGACTAGTGAAAGTGAGGAAGTTTTTTGTTTTGTTTGTTTTTTGAGACAGGGTTTCTCTGTGGCTTTGGAGGCTGTGCTGGAAACTTGCTCTGTAGCCCAAGCTGATCTTGAACTAACAGAGATCCTCCTGTCTGTGTCTCCTGAGTACTAGGATTAAAGGCGTGTGCCACCACCATCCAGCTAGGTGGTTTCTAATATTCTGTAGAGTGGGACACCAGCATGGATAAAAGGCAAAGATGGCTGGTACACTGATTTGGCATAAGACAGTCGTTTCTGAAGTCCCCAGTCCCACTTCCCAATCCATAGGCTGGTACTCTGACAGTTAGAATCTTCACATTCTTCTAGCACAGCCCCCTTCCCAAGCCCCCCACTCTATTGGTTCAGGATTCTAAGCCTTATCTAATGAGTACCTGGATCATGAGACTACCTCCTTTTCTAATCCTGAGCTCATTCCCTAGCGACTTCCCAACTCTCAGAGTTCTGAGACAAGCAGGCACTGTCTGCCAGATAGCGGGGAGAGGAGGCTAGCTTCGCCTGTGCACCTATGAGCTCTGAGCCATGAGCAGGTCTCATTCTGAGACTGTCCATCAGAATTTTTTCTTGTAGTGCCACCATGTCCAGATTTCTACTTGGGTGCTGGGGATCTGAACTCAGGTCCTTAGGCTTGTACAATTGAACATTCTTAGCCACTGAACCATGTTCCAACACTCCTACCTTCTTGAGCCTGGATCTTATGTAGCCTGGGCTAGCCTCAGACTCGATATAGCCAAGGATAACCTTGAGCATCTGATCCTCCTGCCTCAACCTCCCAAGAGCTAGGATTACGGGTCTGTACCATCACAGCTAGTTTACAAGCCATGGGTTTTGTTCAAGGTCACTCAGATGCATGTGAACCAGCCACACGCGTGCCTAGCCTCCCTTTTCTCTGTTTCCCAGGGCGTTCAAGTTTACAGCTGTGCCTTTTGGGTCATAGGACATCTGTGAATCTTACAATGATCAGGCTATGCAAACCACCAGATAGGACTCCTCTCCTATGTGTTCATGTTTAGAACAGCAACACCCATAGCGAGTGACCTTGTTAGCTTTGGCTGTCAACTTGAGACATCCCAGAGTGGTTGTCTGAGGGGGTCACAATTGGGACACTGCCTGGATTCCATTGATGGTGGCCATGTCTGTGAGCAATGTTGGCTTTGATTGCTGTGGGAGGGCCCATCTCTTTGTGGGTGGTGCCATCCCTGGGTAGGTGGTCTTGGGCTATAGGAGCTAGGGGGCTGAATGTGAGGCTGGGAACAAGCAAGTAAGCAGTGTTTCCCCCTCGTTTCTGTTTCAGTTCCTACCCTGACTTCCCTCAGTGATGGAAGTATAAGCTAAATAAAACATACCAGAAGAGAACACAAAATAGTCTGTAAATCCCTGGTGCCCTCTTCTGGCCTCTGACAGTACTGCATACATGGTTCATATACAGAAAAGCAAGCACACACACATACATACACATTTTTGTTATTTTAGTTTAGTTTATTTTAGTTTAGTTTTATTTTTTTTTTGAGAGGTTCTCATTATGTAGCTCTGTTTATCCTGGAGCTCAATAAGTAGACCAGCTGGCCTCAGATTCACAGAGACTCTCCTGCCTCTGCCTCAGTCCTGGGATTACAGGTGTGTGCCACCATGTCCAGTTGAATATGTTCTATTTTTATTTTTAAGAACTATTGTGGTGGTTTGAGTGAGAATGGCCCCCATAGGCTCACAGATTTGAATATTTGGTCACCAGGGAGTGGCACTATTTGAAAGGATTAGGAGGTGTGGCCTTGTTGGAGGAAGTGTGTCACTGCGGGTGGGCTTTGGGATTTCAAATTCTCAAGTCAGTCCCAGTGTCTTCCTGGTCCTGTGGATCTGGATGTGGAACTTCAGCTCCTTCTGTCTGCAAGCTGCCAGGCTTCTGGCCATGATGACAATGGACTAAACCTCTGAAACTGTAAGATGCCCCAATTAAATGTTTTCTTTTACAAGATTTGCTGTGGTCATGGTGTCTCTCTTCACAGCAATAGAACACTGACCAAAACAAGTATCTAGCACAGTTTCTTTTCTTTAATTTTTAAAATATTTTTATTTAAATTAGAAACAATCTTATTTTATATATCAATCCCAGTTCCCTCTCCCTCCCATCTTCTCATGCTCCCCCACCACCACCCCCATCCACTCCCCAGGGAGGGCGAAGCCTTCCATGGGGATCATCAAAGTCTGTCACATCATTTGGGGCAGGGCCTAGGCCCTCCCCCATGTGTCTACGCTGAAAGAGTATCCCTCTGTCCAGGAATGGGCTCCCAAAGTACATTCGCCCCCATACTAGGGATAAGTACTGTAGAACACAGTTTCTTACTGATCCTTCATTGAGCTATGGTGCTATCACCATTGTCACAGGAGTGTGGTTTTTGTTGTTGAGACAGTCTTTCCAGTCTGTTCGCAAACTTCTGAGCTCAAGAAACCCTGAAGCCTCAGCCTCCAGAGTACTTGCGTAATAGGGGTGTGCCACTAAGCATCAGAGAAATTTCTCCAAGGACAGCTCTGTTTTCCAACCCTTCTGGCAGTGTAACTAGCACATGTCTTCATGGGGACATTTGTGACAGGAAGGAGGAAAGAGCATGAGGCTCTTAGAAGGATCTGGAAGGAAGGTCACTCTGGGGACCTGATCCTTGGCACAGGGCTGTCTGTGGGTTTAATAACCACCAGGTGTCCTGTTTGACACTGAAGCGAGGCATGCGTGCGCACGTGTGTGTGTGTGTGTGTGTGTGTGTGTGTGTGTGTGTGTGTGTGTGTGTCTGTGGTGTCTCAGTGGATCAGGGGAAGAGGGGACCTGCAGGCTGTCTGGATCCCTTCTCAGGTTCAATGGGGCTGTACAGGAAAGGTCACAGTCTGTGTCAAGTGGAAGACATATTTCTAAGACCAGGCACGCTTCAGGGACTCTGGGGCTATTAACTTTTGGGGGTCTAGGCCTAACTGGGGTTCATAGGAGCAGAGCACCCAGGAAGGCGTAACAGTGGGTATCATCCAGGCAGCGGCAGCAGGGACTTCCTACCACAAGGCTTCCATCCTGCCGGCAAGAGTCGTGACTAGGAGCCAATCAGACAGAACCCTGGCCCTGCACCCTGAGCCAGAGGCAAACAGGGGCCAGCAGGCCTGAGAGCTACAGGTCTCATCCTGGCATTCATGGGATCTGCGCCTCACACCGGCTTCCTCAGCTGACCTTGGCGCCCCTAGATTCTTTCATTTTCTCAGTAGCTCCAGGAACAGAACTAAGAGAAGTCAGAAACAAGACACAAAGAAAAGCAGAAGTGAGCTCTCAGACACTGACTGTCCCCCACGGTACTGAACCGTGGAGGGTCCAGCCGTGGTCTGGCTGCCAGTGACCCAAGTGTGGAAGAAATGGTCCGACTGGCCTCAGCTGTGTGGCTGATGCTTTTCTGGCTTCCAGGTGAGGAGGCTATCTTCTCAGGAGGGTGGGCAGCCTCAGGGAGATGCCATGTAAGGCACCGGAGCCTGGATTCCTCTGTGCACAAACTGAATGTGGCAGCTTCGTCCTCTGTGTAAGGTGGACAGCCAAAGGTCCACACTGCTCAGGGGGAAGGGGCAGGGACAGGGGCAGGGGCAGGGGCAGAGGCAGGGGCAGGATCCCGCCAGGCACCAAGCGGTCAGAACAAGGAACAAGTCATGCACAGTGAGGGCTAGTGGCTCCCCAGGAGGGGTGCCAAAAGGAATTTTAATGGGTTAGCCTAGGAAAGAGGGAGCTTGGTAGTGGTGGTGCACGCCTTTAATTCCAGCACTCAGGAAGCAGAGACAGGCAGATCTCTGTGATTCCCAGGCCAGCCTGATTCACAAAGTGAGTTCCAGGACAGCCAAGACACATTGAAAACTTATCTTGAAAAACCAAAAAAAAAATATATATATATTTTTGGGACAGGTTTTCTCTACCTACAGAGTATAAGGATAAAAAAAGAAAAAAAAAAGAAAGGTGAAGTGGATAGCTTTTGGCAGGCCCTGCGGGGGTGTGCCGCTAAACAAACATGTTACTTGCAAAAGAGTTAGTGCAAGAAGTTTATTGGGGGAGGGGGTGAAAGGCCAAAGGCCGTGTTGGAGTGGAGACTTGAGAGAGGCAAACAGATAGACAGACAGACAGGCAGGCAGACGGACAGACAGACAGAGGACAAGGAAGAGGAGCAAGAGAAAAAAGGCACAGCGTGGGCTCATGTTGCATAGCTGACGGTAGAGAGGCACCCGGCGACAGGTGATGACGAACCTTAAGTGTTTTGGTGGCAGATGCTGGCTGCTGCCTCGGTGGACACTAACAGAGTGCTGGGATGAAAGGTGTGTGCCACTACACCCCACACACTATGTTTCTTTATTCTTTGAAATTTCATATATGTGAACAATGTAGTTTGGTCATATCCAGCTCTCATCCCTCCCTCCAATTTCCCTCAAGTCCACCCCAACTTTATATTATTATTATTTCTTAAATAGCCATTGAGTATGGTTAGATTAACTCTATGCATATGGGTGTGGTTTATCCACTGAGGCAGGGGCACCCTATAAATGGTCACCTTCTCATAAAGAAAAGGAATCTCTAATCCCGGAACTCTGGGGTCAGGCAGGCAGATCTCTGAATTTGAACCTCATCTACACAGTGAGTTTCAGGCCAGCTGGGGAGACATAGAAAAGCCTTGTCTCAAAAAAGACAAAATCAAAAAAAAAAAAAAAAAAAAAAAAAAAAAAGCAAAATGAAACAAAATGTTCTTGGCGTATATTATCATTTGTATTTTCAAAAAAATTCAAAACACAAACATTTGGTTTAGTCTGAGTGTACACACTTATTTATAAAGGAATGAAAATCATCTTGGCTATTTTTCCTTTTATTTGCATGGGTTTTTTTTCCATGCCAGCAGTGTTTATTGTTATTCATAACTGATCAAAAGGCATACAAGGTTCAGTCTTATGATGATGAAATTGCTTGGGTTTTCTTCTTCTTTTTCCTTCAGGATTTAAGGAGATTTGAAGGTATATGTTGAGTGGCAGAGATAGAAGGTGGAAAGCCAGCCATCTTCTGGGGGTGGGGGGTGGGATGGGCGTCCTAGCGCCTGTCTGTCCATCTGTGTCTGTCTGTCCGCCCATCCTCCAGGAAAGGCATAGGAGGGCGGGGAACTGGTGTTTATTTATTAAGCATGTCAGGGCTGGCATGGCTTAGTGGAGAAAGTGGGCACCTGAGTTTGGATCCCAGCATTCACTTAAAAACTGCACTTGGTTTGTGTCTGTAACTCCAGAGCTGGGGGTGCAAAGTCAAGCGCGACTTGATGCTGCCTCCTCATCTCTGCAGGCTCCGTGCTCTTGAACACAAAGCTGCACACAAACATATATACACATAATTGAAAGTAAAAGTAAAATGGGCAAGAAACAGCTCAGTGGTTAAGTGCACTTACTGCTCTTTTGGGGGACCTGGGTTTGGGTTCCAGAACCCACATAGTGGCTCACAACCACCTGTAACTGGTTTCTAGGCATCTCAGACCCTCTTCTGGCTTCCAGGGGCTCGTACATGCATGTGTGGGGTGCATATAAACTCACACAAGTACACACAAACCGCCAAATATAATAAATAAACCTTAAAAGATAATCTTAAAAAACAGAATCTCAAAATTAGCAAAGTAAACAAACCTAAGTTGAAGAGCAAACGCTCCCATTTTCTGCCCACCCCTCCAACTCTCCTTCCTGGTCACAGGGTCATGAGGACACTGGGGGAGCAGGGCATACTACAGCTGGCCACTGTCTTCTCCCTGTCTCATATTCCTGCAGTGGGACCACGAGGGGATGGCTGTTCCCCCAGGTCCTGAGGTGCCCAGGGCTGGCATGTTTGAAAATGTGAGGCCCTAGTGGGGGGAGGGACTGGGCATTAGGGTTGAAGGAAGGAGTGGGGCAGAAGGGAGGGTGCTGAGGGGTCACTGGCTGAAGGGAGGTGAAGGGATGGAGAGTGGAACTTTTGGGGACCTACACCCCATCCAGTCGAGAGGGTACAGAATTGGAGCTTGTGTTTTCCAGGCTGTGTCCTTCTGCGTGGTCCCAGCTCCATGACAGGCACCGTGGGGGAATCCCTGAGAGTGCAGTGTCAGTATGAAGAGAAACACAAGGCTTACAGCAAATACTGGTGCAGAGTGTCACGGCTACGATCTTGTCAAAATACTGTCAAGACGAGAGCCTCAAAAGAAGCTAGGAATGGCCGAGTGTCCATCAGGGATGATCCGGCCACCCTCACCTTCACAGTGACCTTGGACAACCTCACCCTGGAGGATGCAGGCACCTACATGTGTGGTGTGGATATACCGTTGATCAATGGCTCCTGGTGGGAGATCACTCCCTCCTTGGGGATTGATTCTTACTCCAAGGTTGTGGTGTCTGTGGTCCCAGATAAGCATCTAGGTGAGTCCTAATGAGCACTATAGCAGCTGCAAAGCGGCAGGAATTTCTGGGGCAGGAATCAGCTCAGGGCCTGAGAGTACCTTGTGTGTGGTGGGGGAATGGCGATGAGGGACAGACAGGGAGAGGGCAACAGTCCCAGAGGTATCCTGGAGTAGCTGCATCTTGAGGGCAGGTGCTGGTCCATCAGGGGATGGGAGGCAGAGAGAGCAGAGTGTGGCCAGGACAGAGTTCTGTGTCCTGTGGAGTGACCCATGCAAACTAGAATTCGTCGGTGTGTTAGGGGCCTGAGCAGAGGGTCAGTAGGGGACAGATGGTGACTGTGCTATGTGCAGAGGGACCTTTGACTAGTGGTAAGCCAGCTTTGCAGCTAGTTCTCTTTGGCAGCATGTGGCTGAGGCTGGAGGAGAGGGGACCTAGCGTGTGGTTTTAGACTCAGGTGAGTTGCGGGTGGCAGCTGTGTCGTGCGTGTAATTGGTCAGCTGATCTAGAAGGGTGCTCCATCCTGCTTCTTCCTTTGGTGTGAAGTCAGCTTGAAAAGCAACCATTGGCAGCAGACCAGGGTGGTTTATGCCTATGATCTTAGCACGCTGGAGGCAGAGGCGGGAGGATCACAAGTTCAGCACAGCCGGGGCTGTAAACTCCATATGGAGACCCTGCCTCAAAAAATAAATAGTAGTAGAGTCTGTGGAGATTCCCTAGGTCTGATCTGTGGTTTTATTTCCAGGATCAGTATCACGGACTTCTGCAATGACCACCAGCCTGGCCACCAGCCTGACCACCAGCCTGGCCACCGAAGGTCCCACCGAAGGATCCACCATGAAGGAACACCTTGAGCATTCTGAGCCAACGGGCTTGAGGTGAGGTACCCTAGTCCCTGATCTGGGGGTGGCCACCCCAGCCATGTGGTTCCCTCAGCAGAAGGGTTTCCAGAACTATGAGGGCTTGGGATAAGAACCCTTGGTTCCTGACTTGAAGGTGGTGGCCCTTCTCCCAGAGGGGCTTAAGTAGGCACTGTGGCCATACTGTGGACAGTATGCTGCCGTCATACTCCTCTGGCTAGAACCTCCTGTGCCATTGGTTCCAGTCCAGGTAGGAGGTCATAGGTCACTGAGCACCCTAGGCCTGCCGATGCCGAGGGCAGGGAGCGCTCAGGCTGAGGAGACAGGGTGTGCGGGAAGGAGAGTAGTAGGAAAGGGGCATCCCCTCAGGCTCGGCTCAGTGCTGCATAGAATGATCTTTTTCCCGCCTCGTGATGATCTTCATCTTAGTTATTTTCCCATGGCTGTGATAAAACACCTTGACCAAGGCAACTTGCAATAGGAAGCATTTACTTGGGGCTCACAGTTTCAGAGAGTTAGAACCCATGATCTTCATGATGGGAGCCTGGCAGCAGCCAGACAGGCGTGGTGCAGGAGCAGTGGCTGAGAGCTCATGTCTGTTTTAAAAAGTAGTTTGTTTATTCTTTTTTTTTTTTTTTTTTTTTTTTTTTTTTGGGTTTCTCTGTGGCTTTGGAGGCTGTCCTGGAACTAGCTCTTGTAGACCAGGCTGGTCTCGAACTCACAAAGATCCGCCTGCCTCTGCCTTCCGAGTGCTGGGATTAAAGGTATTCGCCACCACCACCCAGCCAATTTATTTATTCTTATTTTGTGTATATTGGTGTTTTGCCTGCATGTACGTCTGTGTGAGGGTATCAGATCGTGGAGTTACAGACAGTTGTGAGCTGCCAGGTAGGTGCTGGGAATTGAACCCAGGTCCTCTGGAAGAACAGCCAGTGCTCTTAACTGCTCAGCCATCCCTCCAGCCAAGACAAGACAGACATAGCCACAAGACAAAGAGAACTCACTGGGAATGGTGTGGGTTTTTGAAACTTCAAAGTCCACGCTCCAGGGACATATTCCTCCAACAAGGCCACACCTATTAATCCTTTCCAAATAGTTACTCCAACTGGGGACCAGGTATTTAAATATATGAGCTTATGGAGGCCATTCTCATCCAAATTATCATCCCATACTAATTTTCAGATGACTAAACTGAGGCTCAGAGGGCTAAGTAGTCTGCCTAGGTGTTAGCTATTATAGATCATGCAGGGCTGGGCTCAGGCTTACATGACTCCAAATTCTTGTGTTCCCCCTCTAGATATTGGGGAGTCACCAACTCCATAGAGAAGCTGAAAACAGACTCTCCCGAGAACACTGCATGTTGTCACCAACTATTTCCAGGGTTCAGACTGTCCACTCTGACCCCGTTGGGATCCTATAGGATAAGGGCTCTGGCCACCTGCACTCTAGCTTCTAGCTATAAATGTTGAGGCTCCCATGATGCTCTTGGGCTCAGGAACTCACTAGAGTCTTCACTCTTGGAAATGGTTTTATCATAAGAGATAAAGATCATGAAGAGACAAATGAAGAGACAGCAAGACCAGACTAGGAGAATCCCAAGAAGTGTCCCAGTACCCTGTATCTGAGGCAGGGTCAGGGTGGGTCACCCCCAGAGGCCTCTGTGTGTCTCCACCAAGAGCTCCCCCATTTCCTTCTCAGGGTTTTTACTGGGGTCTCATGAAGTAGGCACCACAGGCCGAATCGCTGGCACGGGGATGAACTTGTTTCCAGCCCCTCCTCTCACCCCCCACCCCCACCACCCTCTCTGCAGCCTGGTGGGAGTCCCCGTCATATCTTAAAGCCGAATGCAATGTGGAGTCAGAACTAGATTGATAATGATAGTTTATTAAGAAAGTACTCACACAGTGGAGCCAGTGACCAGGTTTACATCAGATGCCGGCTCGTCTGCTCAGCTAGGCGGGAGAGAGAACAAAAAGAGCCACGTGCTTGCTACATCACTGTGACCACGCCCAAGCAGGCGTGGTCAGCGTTACCTGTGTCCAGCCCCAAGCGGGCATGGTCAGCATTTTCCCCTACAATATCTCCGACCCCACATTGGTTCCTGGTGAGCAGCCTCATTCTGGCATCTTACTTTTAGCCGTATACAGGCACGTCTAGACTTTTGACATTATGACACAATGTTGTTGTCATCTATAAAGTTCACACCTAAAAGCCATGCAATCAAGTTACAAAACATCAGGGGGGAGTGGGGAAATCCAACCACCCCATCTCACCATATTTTAAGTAAATGTACAATTAGGTGTTGGGCTGCATTTACCGCTATGCAAGGCCAAACGCATGAGGTCCATAGACCGAGACCTGGACACTTCTGTAAGCACCACTCAAATGTTCACAGACAACAAAGGCGTTCCTGTTAGCAATTTCCCCAGCAACAGACAGGGGTGTCCAACCTGTGGACATTGTGACATGATGTCATGGTTTATAAATGCATTGACCACATTTGAAGCTATCCTGGGACACATGTGGTCTCTGTCCCCGAGCCCCGGGCCTGTCCTCTTCTTACTACCCCACACCTGGAAATCTTAAAAGTTTTCTGCCAAGCTAGAGGCACAATGTGATGCCAGAAAAGGCAAAATGCAGGACCCAAGCATGCTGCTTCTGGAGGGAAACCTACAGATGTTCAAGGCAGGCAGAGCCCTGCTTTGTTTGGTCCGAAAGAACAGTGTGTGTGTGTGTGTGTGTGTGTGTGTGTGTGTATTTGAGATAAGGTCTGACTACATAGCCTTGGCTAGCCTGGAACTCACCGTGTAGACCAGGCTGGTCTTGAACCCACAAAGAGGCACTTACCTCTGCCTCCTGAGCACTGGGATTAAACGTGTGGACCAGCACTCCCAGCTTCATACCCCTGTATTGTTATTAGCATGCGTGAGTGTGTGTGCATATGTGCACAACTTTCACGAGTCAGTTCTCTCCTTCTACTATGGGTTCTGGGCTTGAACTCATGACCCCGGCTTGCATTGCAAGTGCTTTTATCCCTGAGTCATCTCACTGAATCTTCTTTAAAACATTGACTTTATGTATCTGTTTTGAAAGTCAGGGGATGGTGATACACCTGGGGTAGGGCACTTGGCTGGTGTGCATGAGGCCCTGGGTTTGATTCCCAGCACTGAGTAACTAACTCCCTCCCCTTCAAGCCTGCCAGTGCTGCTGTCTGTGTTAGCTCTGCTGCTGTTTCTCTTGGCGGGGGCCTCTCTGCTGGTCTGGAGGATGTTCCAGAAGCGTCAGGTGAAAGGTGAGTTAACTTCCTGTGTCCTTCTGTCCCTTCTCCAGGGTGGATGGGTTCTGGCCACAGTCTTTCACCTTCAGTGCTCCGTCCCCACCATTAAGCACACACTCTCAGGGGACACACTCAAGATGTCCCTAGGGGGAGGGCCCTAGGGGTTTCCCTGGGTGTAGTGGTTACACACCTCGAGAGATAGCTCCCCAGAGGCCTTTCTCCTGGGGCCTGAGTGGTTGGGGGGCAGTGTCTTCTTCCATTTAAAACCTTTAGTGGCCTCCCACACAACTGTCTCTGAAGGGTTGCTAGGCCTCCACAGTGTGCCCTGCCAGCAACCCCACCCCTCTTCTTATGACTTTTATTTATGAGGCAGGAGCCTCAGCCTCTCTCCTCTCTCCTGGGCTTACTCTGAATGCTGAAAGTGTCTCCACTGGCCTTCCCTAGCTTACTCCTGAGTCTCCAAGCACTGTTTTCAGCCCTTACTTAGACTTTTTCCTTGAGGGCTTGAGGCCTTCTGGGTATCACCGGCACCTTGGCTATCACAGCTCTTTTTGTATTAGATGGTTCTCACCAGGCATCCCTGGTTGTCACCTCATGTAGCCTGGGCTGAGACTGGAGAAGGCCCCCAGTCCCCAGTCACTATCAGGTTTAGTATGTTAGTTACCTGAAGTCCCACCCTCCCCAGTTCAGATTGACAGACAGGACTTGCACAGGGTGTGTCAGCAAACATGTTCCCAACAAATCCAGAACCCTGAGTAAGCACAAGGACAGAGGGACAATAGAACAGAAGGGAAAGGGTCAGACCTCTTCCAGGGGAGCTGCTAGCTTCCTTCCTGTGCTGAGACTTCATGACCCTATGAGCAAAGGGCCCTCAGGGCCATCTTTGTTCATGTTCCTGAAGCCTTCTGAGACTTCAGTGAGGATGTGGTAGCCAAAATGAGGCCACTCTGTCCTTCAGCTGTTGTCAGGACGACTGTATGCTTTTGGTGGTAGGGTACAGGGACTCCAGGCCTCAGCCCCACCTCTGGCTGCTCCTGGATGCTGCCCAAGGAGCTGTGGCTACCTCAGAACAACATGGCACTGCAGGAGAGCGCTTTCTCTTTCCAATTGGACTTCCTGTCTTTCTGTCTGTCTCTGAAGTCAGGCTTTCTCTGTGTTGCCCTGCCTGTCCAGGCTGGCCTCAAACCACCTGCCTCTGCCTCCTGAGTGCTGGGATTTAAGGTGTGCACCACCACTGCCTGGCTCTCCAGTCTCTCTTGGGGGGACCTGTAACAGGAAAAATAAAAGACCCCAGAGACAGATATTGGGGTTCAAGCTCCAAGCTGAAGATCAGAAAAGCAAAGCATCTGACCACTAGTTCTTACCTCTACCTCAGTTTAGACCAAAGGGACGATTCTTGCACTGCTCCTGACTTCACTGTTCCTCAGATTCACTCAGGCTGCTATGCTCTCCTCAATGTGGCTAGAGACTGAATGACTCTACCTTCTATACCTCTCAAATCCTGGGATTAAAGACGTGAGCCCTGATTCACTCTCCGATAGCCCAGGGTGGTCTTGGGCTCAGAGATCCACCTGCCTTTCTACTGACTCCTGGGATTAAAGGTGTGTGCCACCACCTGGCTTCTGTAGCTAACTTGTGTGGCTGGCTTTGCCTTCTGTACCCTCAGGCGAGCTTTAATAAATCATAAATACTATACCACCCCAGGGGCCTCCTGAGTTGTAGCTGTTATGTTGTCCCACTAACCGCATGGGACTTTCCCAGCCTGGACAGCTCCAGCTTAGCGAGTCCCAGCACACTCACTTAGATGCCCTTTCACCCAGAAACACGGTGGCCCCACAGATAGCTTCCTCTTTAAGAAAGATACGTGACTCATGACTCAAGTGCTGGTTCATGTAATCCCTGTACTTGGGGACAGAGGCAACAGGACTGCAGTGAGTTCAAGGCCACTAGGTAGGGAAGACTCTGCTTCAAACAACAAAACTAAAAAGACAGGGTGAGGAGAGGATTGCTGTAGGAAAGTTGAAAAATAAATGAAAGCAACACAGGAGAAAAAAATTATCTGAGGTACATGGTAAGTCAAAATCCTGTCTCCCCCCCAAAACAGCCACTGTACTAGGGATGTGTGAGTTACTTCCAGTCTTTTATCTATGCCTGTGTGATTTCTTTAAAATCCCCCCCAAAAGAAAAAGAAAATGGGGAGAAAATATTTACGGGTCAGGCAGTGATGGTGCACACCTTTAATCCCAGCACTCGGGAGGCAGAGGCAGGCGGATCTCTGTGAGTCCCGGGCCAACCTGGTCTCCAGAGCGAGTTCCAGGACAGGCTCTAAAGCTACAGAGAAACCCTGTCTTGAAAAACTAAAAAAGAAAAAAAAATCCATGTTTTAATTATGTGTATATGTGTGTTGGAGGGGGGTTTATATGTGTGTGTGTGTGTGTGTGTGTGTGTGTGTGTGTGTATGATGTGTGTGGAACCCTTGGAGGTCAGAAGTGAGCATGAATCCTTTGGAGCTGGAGTTACAGGCAGTTGTCAGTTGACCAATGTGAGCCTTGGGTACCAAACTCAAGTCCCCTGGAAGAGCAGCCAGTGCTGTTAACCTCTGAGCCATCCCTCCAGTCCCACTATGATTTCCTAAAGCTCTTGCTTCATAGCCAAGGCGGGCACATCCCTGTACTATCAACACTTGGGAGACCGAGGCAGGAGGATTAGGGGAGTTGAGAGCAAACTGGGCAACACCCCCTTCTTCAAAAACAAAAGAAGCAAAACCTTCACACCACGTAAACCTGAAATTTTATACTTAGTACAGCATCTCCATTACTATGGAATGTTCTAGAAATTCCAGACCTATGGCTGAAGTCTCCAAGGAAAGTCTTTCTCAGAGTGCAGCACACCCCTCCTCCATGCCTACTTTTGCCTGTGGTTTTACCTCCTTCTCTTTCTGTCTGTAGCTGCTAAATACCCAGAGCTGTCCCAGAACCTCAGGCAGGTAAGGGAGCTACATCAGGAGGTGAGCCAGGGAAGCTGGGTGCGTGGGTGGCAGACGGAGGCTGTCAGGGAGGGAGTCCCTGGGCTAGTAGAAGTGGCAGGTCTGTTACAGGTGGGTGGAATTGTTCCAGAACAGGAGAACAACACCTGGAGATCTAGTGACCAACTCTTGTCCCACATTCTGTCCAGTCTGTTCCCCTCTGGCCAGGACAGTGGACTTGGGCAAAGGGGGAGGGGTCCTAGAGAGAACAGGGAGAGGGTGGAGGAGAGTGGGGAGACCAGCGCTGACACAGCGT